CCTCCTCCGAGTCCACCTGCTGCGGGGCGTCTGAGTTTTTGTTGCTCATGTCGTTGTTGGCCTCCTCCACGCAAAATGCCTGCTCGCAGAGTGCCACTCGCAATGTCTGGAAGACACATGCGTGCCTCGATGTGGCGGATCGTGGATCCCTCGCGGTGGATCCAGGCCACTTGCGAGTAGGTAGCGTGCGAGTAATGGACGACGCTTGTCCAGGGAAGCGAGATCGATACCGCTGCTCGTCCTGGAGAGCCCTCGTCGCCAAGGCTGAAAGCTCTCCTCGAGATGCTGGTCAGGGCGCCACCCGGGAGAGGTCCAGGGAGTAGCAGTAATCCCGGCGTTTTTGCTCGATTTCGGCCGTCTGCGGCCCCTTGTTTGGCCCTGGGGCGATGATCACATGATCCAGGGCGAACAAAACCATCCCTGGGGGAGCGGTCGGGGCCTTCCTGGGGCCGCGGATCGAAAAGATCGTTTTCACGTTAAGTCGGGCGTGGCCCTCTACAGGAGGAATATTCAAAAAGAATTCAAAAATAGTACGGGGACGATTTTCCTACAATTTCGAAGCGTTCTTTTCTCATTTGCTTGCATTTGTTTATAATTTTTCGTCCAGAATCCGCCTGTGGGGGCATGCTCGATCGTTTTTCCATTTTTTGAGGCCGCCTGGGAGGCCCTCGTCGCCACGGATGTCACGGATGGATTCGCTACGAAATCCTGGTCAGAACGCATCTCGGGAGAGGTCGGAGGAGTAGCGGTATCGGTGTCGCTGGGGTTCCCCACGTGCGTGTCCATGATCGGAGGTTCGTGGATCCAGACCTCTCGAATGGGTTCCGAGTGGATGGGGTCGGAGGATCACGCCGCATCGCCGACGCGTCGGCGATGCTGCTCGATGTGGAGCCCGAGTTCCTCCACCAGCCGCCCGCACCTTAGATACAATGGTTCCCGGCAGCGGGTGGGGGTCGACGGGGCAAGCTAGGGCTTCGCCACCCACGCTCCTTCGTTCTCGCAGTTGCGGTGGCTCCCGGTCCCAGGTCCCCATCTTTTGGACAGGGGTCGTTGGGCGGGGGATGGTTTTCGCAATGCCCTCTGCCACTTCTCGATGCCTCGAGTGTTAAGTCGGGGCGTCCCTCTACAGGAGGAATGTTCAAACATAGTGAAAAAACACCGTAAGGGTTTCGCCCCCTGCCGCCGGCCCCCCCTGTAATGTACTCGGATGTATGGTTCCGGGTGCGCGAATGCAGTGGAATTTACAAAAAGTGTATGGCTTCGGGGGCGCGGACATTATGTAATCTACACGTTGTTATGGTTTCGTTGGCGAGAACCTTTTATGATTAGGATGACTTATGGCTTCGAGAGCTCGAACATATATTTTTCCAGGGTTTCTGGCTTCGGAGACGCGAAGATCGTGTAATTCACAATGGGTTAAAGCTACGGGGACGCACACATGGTATACTTTATTACGGTTGATGGCTTCGGGAGCGCAAACACTGCGTGATTTACGCGGGAGTATGGCCTCGGGGATGGAATATTGTGTAAAGTTTGTAGGTTTATCGCCCTGGGGGTGCGAATGTTGGATAATTTTCACAGAATCATGGTTTCGTCGGCGCGAATGTTCAATATTGTACAAGACTTGATGGCTTCGGGGGCGCGAGTATTGCTAAATCTACAAAAAGGTGTCTGGCTTCGGGGACGCGGGTATTCAGTAATTTACGAAGGTTCATGGCATCGGGGCAAGAGTTTTGTTGCTTTACGAGGGTTTATGGCTTCACGGACGCGAGAATTGTTTAATGTACCAGGGGTTATGCTTTCGGGGGCGCGAACATGTAGTAATTTACTTTGATTTTAGGCTTCGGGAGCGGGAGTAATGTGTAGATTTCAAAGGTTTATGGTTTCGGGGCCGCGATTATCAAGTATTTTACGTGGGATTTGGCTTCGGGGGTCACGAATATTGTCTCTGGGAAGCGACTGGGAAGCGACTATGGCGCAATTTACCGAGGATTATGGTCTCGGGAATGCGAATATCATATATATATATATATACGTGTCCCACGACCCCCCGGAAATTCAGATAATGCGATTCGGGGGCTTATCCAGGACGCTTTTCGGCTCCCCCCCCTCGCTCGTTCAGCAACAATTAACAGGACCGTAACAGGACCGTAACAATGGAACCTGGAAGCTGCAAGTGCCACAGGGAGCTGCAAGCCTAATCTTCGCAGCCTGATGGCCCCGCTCAGGGGGCCGGCGGAGTATGGTGACGATCTTTGATTATTATTGGCTAGTTGTGATGATTGTTAGACTATTTTGCATTTGTCGTCCAAATTCCGCCTGTAGGAGGGGCATGCTGGACCGCGGCGTCCGGCTGCGCCTTTGTGCTTAGCCGCTGCCGCAGGGCGGCGGAGGCCACGGCCACCTCCGCTCTGTCAGCCTCTCCTTGGGGAGCCGCAGGGTCCTCCCCTTCCCCCGTGCACGCCGTGCGTCCGCGTTCGAGGCGGCACCCGTGGGGCCCTCCACAGGTCCGCACCTACTTACCTTGATGGCTCATCTCAGGCCGGGCCATACCCAGGGTGGCCTGACAGTCTCGCGTGCTGCCGGTTGCGTCGAGCACACGGGAGGAGAAGGAAGAGAACAGGGAGGACGGACGGCAGCGTCCCCAGAGATTCCGATGCCTTCAGTCGGTCGGTCAGTCAGTCAGTGAGTCAGTCAGCCATTCAGAGGGGAGGAGGACGAGGAAGACAAGGAGGACGAGGAGGAGGACTCCGATGCCTTCATTCAGTCTGTCGGTCGGTCGGTCGGTCATTCAGTCAGTTAGCTAGTCATTTAGAGGAGGGAGGAGGAGGAGGAGGAGGAGGAGGAGGAGGAGGAGGAGGAGGAAGACGAGCAGGAGGAGGAGGAGGAGAAGGAGGATCAGTGTAAACCACAGACATCAACGAGGTTACAATACACCGTTCCTCCAAGGCCCCATTTTCCATGGGCTGTTGTATGGTATCTCTTCACTGCGGGAGGAGCCGCCCCGTTGGGAGGCATCAGTTTGGAAAGCTTAAGCAGCGTCAAAGGAACCATTCCTGGCACCTCAACGCCACGAGCGAACTTTACTGTTGCGACCTGACGATTCCAAATCGTCCCAGGACATCGTTTCCGGGACGTCCATTCCACGAATCCATGCGACTGTCGCGCCCTGATGATCGCCAGTCGGCCCTGATGATCGCCAGTCAGGACGTCAGCCATAAGAACCTGTGAAACTGTTGCAAACTGGTGAAACGAACCTGCGCGGCGCTGAGGCGAGAACCATGTTCTCAAAACGGCCCCGCCCTCGATGCGTGAAGATCCTGCAAGCTGTTAATCAGGAGGAGAAACAACAAACAGACATAATGAATCGTCCTCTCCCAGGGAAATATGGGAGACTATGGGCAGTGGGGGGAAGACAAAACCTGAGAACATATAGGACATGATGGGGAATCTTTATACTTTTATGTATCTATTTGTGTGTCCTTGGGCCCCTTGAGTTAAGACGAGTGTGCGCGACGCTCAGACGAGGGCCATACTTCGGAGGCCCGCTCTCCGTCCGTGAAGCTCCCTGCAGACTGCTGAGGCGAGTGTGCACGGCGATCATGCGAGAGCCGCGTGTGTTGAGAAGGAACCCCCTCCGTTCGTCCGTGAACGTGTTTGAATTCTTTACGCTTCGCGTATCCCCACCAGCCCATCTCACAGCAGCAACTCTTGCGAAGCATGCCGACAATCGTGTTTTTCAGGCGTGTGTCCGCTAGGCCCCGCATATCTCCCCTGTTCCTCCTTCCTCCCGCCTCCTTGTACATCCTCCTTGTGGGGGGAGCGGGAGAATGTGCACGGCGATCGTGCGAGAGCCGCGCGTCGAGAAGGAACCCTCCGTTCGTCCGTGAACGTGTTTGAACTCTCAAAGCTTCGGGATCAGAAAGGGTTCAGGAGGTATCCGGCGAGTCGCCCGGGCCCGCCCTGCCGACCCGCGCCGGGGTGCGGCAGGGAGGGGCTGTCTTCAAGGAGGAGCGCTGGAGGGCTGCGGAGGAGGCGGAGCGTTCGCGGGCTCAGCGATGGCAGACGGCGGAGGATGCGGTGGAGGATGCGGAGGAGAAGGAGGAGGATGAAGAGGAGGAGGAGGAGGAGGAGAAGGAGGAGGATGAAGAGGAGGAGAAGGAGCAGCAGGAGCAGGAGCAGCAGCGGGAGCAGGAACAGGAGCAGGGCAGGAGCAGGGCAGGAGCAGGAGGAGCAGGAGGAGGAGGAGGAGGGGGACAAATAATCGGATGAGGAAGAGGAGGGCTCGGAGGATGAGGAGGAGGAACATTATGATGATGAGGAGGAGGAGGATGCGGGGGGATAAGAGTACGAGGAGGAATAGGAACATGTGGAGGATGACAAGGAAGAATAGGAGGAGGATGCGGAGGATGTTGAGGAGGCGGAGAAGCAGGAGGAGGAGGAGGAGGAGAAGCAGGAGGAGGAGGAGGAAGACAACGGAGAACGAGGGGCAGCAGCAGCCTGCCCCGCCCTGGCGCCAGGAGCTGGAGCAGCTGAGGGCCGAGCTGCGGGAGTCGCGGGCGCGAGAGGCCGCGCTGGCGGAGGCGCCCGGGAGCTCTGCCGCTCTGTCGCGACGCCTCTCCCTGGGCGGCTGCTCCCACTCCTGGGCAGGCCTCCTTCCAGGGCAACGTTACTCACCAGCCTCGAACTTATCCCTATCCAAAAGATTGACACGCCAAAAGGCGATGATAATCTTAGGGATGCGCCCTGAACAACTAAGGGAATCCCTAAGATTGGCATTGTGATGAGGCGATGCCCAGCTTAGGGATAGGGATATGTTCCAGGCTGGTAATGGGCAGGCCTCCTTCTGGGGCAACGTTGCCCATCGGTCGTTGGAAGTACGGGGGACCGGGTCCGGGGGCTGGGGGCCGGGGGCGGGGGCCCCGACCGCAAATGTGGGGCCCGGCGCGCCGGGAGTCCTGCCGGAGCGCCGGGGGCCGTCCAAGATCGCGCGAAGATGGCTTCGGAACGCTCGAAAACAGGCTCCGATGGCTCCGGATGCCTTTCAAGGCCCCCGAAGGAACCGAAGACGCCCCAAGAGGCACCCCGAGAGAGCCCCGATAAGCAAACATCTTCGATTTCCTAAACTGATGTTTTTGGCGTGTTCGCCTTCTGGGTTTCCACTGCGTCCAAGGCACCCAAGCCGGTCGAGGATGCCCCCAAGAGGGCCAAGACGGCCCACGAGAGCCAAGACGGCCCACGAGGCGCCCAAACCGCCCAAGAACGCCCCAAGGCGGCGCCCAAGACGGGGACGAGGAATCGGAAATTCGCGCCTTTTGGCCCAAGAGATCTTCAGAAGACCCCAAGAGGCTCCAAGAAGCACCCAAGAAGCCCCAAGAGGCCCCCATGCGACCCGAAAAAACACCAAAAGAGGCCCCGAAGACGCCCCAAGAAGCACCCCAATAGAGCACCAAATAAGCAAGCATTGTCGGTTTCCGATGGGAATACTTATATTTTTGGCGCGTGCGCCTTTTGGGCTTCCACTGCATTCAAGACGGCCCAAGAGGCACCCAAGACGGTCGAGGATGCCCCCAAGTGGGCTCCAAGACGGCCCACGAGGGGGCCAAGACGGCCCACGAGACGCCTAAACCGCCCAAGAACGCCCCCCAGGAGCCCAAGAGGCCTTTCCAGGGAGCCTCCACACCGCCCCAGGAGGGCCCAAGACGCCTCCCAGGAGCCCGCAGAATGCGAAAGGATGGTCCAAGACGCTTCCAAGCAGCCCAAGTCGGCCTTCCAACGGCTCTCGAGGCTCCCAGGTGGCCTCCAAGAGACCCCAAGAGAGGTCCGAGAGGCAACCCGGGACGGCTCGAAGAGGCCAAAATCGTCGATTTCCAATTTTTGCCCAAGAGCGCGAGCAGGAGGCTTCCAGAGACCTTCGAGAGGCCTCCGGGACCCTCCAGAGGCCCCCAACGCACCCCCGATCCCTGGGAGGCTCCAAAAAGACCCCGACGAGGCTCCAAGAGCAGCTCAAGAGAGCTGCGAGAGCCGTCCCGAGAGAGCCCAAAGAGGGTCAAATCGTTGATTTCCAATGGGTTTTCTAATGTTTTCCGCCTTCTGACGTTTTCCCGCTTCCAACCCTCGAAGATCGAGGATTTTGTAGGGAAAAATGGAATTCCCAGAATTCCATGTTTTTTTTCAAAGTGGGACTCCGACTCGGAGATCCCACGCGTCCCCTGACATCTGGCCGGTACCGCACCTCCCGGCTTCCCGGGGGGCCCCCAAGACGCCCAAGGACAGCCCAAGACGACCCCAAGGAGCCCCCAGAACGTAAAGAGCGGCCCAACACGCTCCCGCGCAGCCCGAGACACCCTTCCGACGGCTCTCCAGGCCTCCAGGAGGCCTCCAGAACCCCCAGGGGGTCCGGAAGATCCCACACCCCTGAGGGGCCCGGCTAACAAAACCCGCGAGGCACAAGCAAAAAACAGCGTCGAACAGCGCCGAGGAACTGGAAACACATGGAAATCCCACATTTCTTTTTTTTTTCTCAAGTTTGGCCCCGGGTCTACTCTTGCACAACACAATTCAGACCCCCTCACTTCCCCCCAAAACCCACGAAGCCTTTAAGGGCCCCAAATCGTTGAACACCTAGAGGGAATTCTAGACGCTTCGCGCAACCCCACCAGCCCATCCAGAAACGATGCCCAGAGGAATTGCCTCGATCAGGAAAGTGGGCAGCACACAGAGGAAGGGCCCCCCAGTGGAGGCCTCTTGGAGCGTCTTGGGTACCTCGGAGAGCTTCTTGGGGTCTCTTGGGGGTCTAGGGAGCATCTTGGAGACCTCTTGGGCGCCTGTTGGGGCCTCCTGGGCTTCTCTTGGGGCCCTCTTGAAGCGCTCTTGGGAGCCTTGGGAGCGCTCTTGGGGCCATCTTGGAGGACATCGATCAAACAAGAAGCGAGCATTAGTTAGCGTTGCCCCTCGGGAGCCCAAACAATCGCCTCTTGGGGCGCTCTTGGGGCGCCCTTTGAGCGCTCTTAGGCGCTTTTGGGGCCGTCTTGGGGCTCTCTTGAGCCTCTCTTGGAGCCCTCTTGGGCCATCTTGGAGCCATCTTGAGGCCTCGGATGGCCATCGGAAGCGAAAAGGCGAGGAAGCCAAACACAGATGTTCCTAAGATTTTTGGCCTCTTCGGGGCCTCCTGGGGGAGCTCTTTGACCACTTGGAGCCGTCTTGGAGCGGTCTTGGGGCATCTTGGAGCATCTTTAGCTATCTTGGAGGTCATCTTGGGCTCTCCCAGGCGCTCTGGGAGTCATCTTAATCAGTGCCCCCCCCAAGAGGCTAACATGCGGCTAAAACCTTAGTAAAATCAATGACTTGGCATTCTCGCCGAGGCCGCTTTGAGCATCTTGGGTGCCTCTGGGGGGTCTCTTCGGGCCTCTTGGGGGTCTCTTGGGAGCCTTTTGGGGACATCCTGGGGGCCTCTAGTGGTTTCCTGGCCACCTCTTGGAGCCCTCTTGGGGCACCCTTGGGAGCCTTGGGGGCCATCTTTGGGCCATCTTGGGTGAGATCGATCACAGGAAGGGGGGTCCCTAATGAGGGTCCCCCCTTCAGGAGGCCAACATGGGTCCAAGACCTTAGTAACACCAGTGATTTGGGCTTCCTCGCCGAGGCCGTTTTGGACGCCCCAACGCGTCCCGAACCCCCCCGTCCAGGTCCAGGGGAGGGGGTAGGGGGAGGGGTAGAGGTTGGAAGAGGAAACTCTCTACACCACCTACGCCCAGAGGACTGGTGGGATTAATGACTTCTGCGTTTCCGCACTTCCTCTTCTATACGATTCCGAGGCTTGCGCAGGGCCTCCGAGGGAGTTCCTGGGCGCAAGAAGCGACCAACATGAGATTACATGAGTTGGCCTATCAAGCCTGGGTAGAACTTAAGCGCGCGCGAAGCGCGCGCGATGGTTCTAGTAGGTATTTTTGAATTCACAGCTTCTAGTCTACTTTGAGCGCCGTCCTGCTTCAATGATCGAGTGGCTTCGCTTTTTCCGCCCTCCTAATGGGGGCGCGCGGGAACCCAATCTACTTTCCACGCCTTTCTCTTGTCAGCGCCTTCCTACTTTCAACGCCTTCCCACCGATGGGAGGAGGAGGAGGAGGAGGAGGAGGAGGAGGAGGAGGAGGAGGAGGAATATGCTGGATTATGCTAGCCAGATCTCCGCAGCTGCGAGGCACGCACCACGGCGACGTTGAAAGCTTCCCCTACCCCAGGCCGTCCCTGGGCGATAAAGTTCGGCTTTGGTCAAAACGGCTTGCCCGTGGTGGGGTGTCGACTGTCCTACAGACGGCTCAAACGTCCAGCCATTGTTCGGGGGTTTCCCTCGACACAGCTCGACAGCAAACTAACCCATCTGTCCTGAGCGTACCTGGCACATCGGCGACAGAAGATCACACGGGGGAGGCATATTAGCCTGTGCCCCTGGGCGCGGGCTCGTTCGATCCTACCTCCGTTTCCCCCCAACCCAACACGGTGGGGCGGGGCGCCGGGAGGCGGAAGGTGGGGAGGCTCCACGGCCCCCCCTTCACCCCCACCAGGCCGGGGTCCGCGGGGGTTGGGTGGGTTCGAGTCCCGCTCAACCAGACTCGAGCCCTCGGAGGTGTCAACGAGCCTTCTGCCTAACACTCCTACGTAGGCTGCGAACTCAAGCACATCCGTAACGAGTTTGAATCGCTGTATGTATGCAGCTCGGTGCCATGCAGGGCGCTGCTGCAGTCGAGCTCCTAGCTTGGCATACTGATCGGAGAATTTGTTTCCCTCCCACAGCTCGAGGCCCATCTCGTTTCGTTGGGCTCTCGTGGCATGGGCTTTTACTTTCTCGAAACTGACCCCTCGCGGCCCCAGACCACCGTTTTCAGCGATCAAGGCCCAGCAGCGCGCCCACACGTCTCTGTGTGGCGTGGCGGGGCGCGCCGCCCACGAGGGCCCTCTCAGAAACCCGTCGATGACCGACTGGCAGTCGGAGACGATGATGATGGGCGGGCAAGCCACCTCCAGCATGCGGAGCACGGCTATCAGCTCGCTCAGGAATATAGATTGCTGCCACTGTGGCCTTGGCAGGGGCCCGTATCATGCGCACTTCAAGGACATGTCCTCGTTCAGCTGCACGAATGACCAACCTCCGCGTCGTAGGGCAGCGTACTTGCCGCCTGTCCCCAAAATACGTGTCTTTTCTGGTGCCCGACGCGGGCTCGATGCAGACTCGACGTGGATTTGGCGTGGATTCAACGTGGATTCGACACCGATTCGACACGGATCCGACGGGTCCGACACGGATCCGACACGGATTCGACGCGGATAGGGCCGCGGTTGGCCAGACAAGGTTCCCCGAGGATGCAACAGAAGGGGGGACGGCATGTTCGAGGTTCGAGGCTTTCTGGCGTTGTCGTTGCTTCTTGGCGGCTCGTCAGCCTCGGGACGCGTTCCGGCGGCCGGTAGCGTCCAGGGGTGCCCGGGTCGTCCCGAGCGGCCGTCGGAGAGCCGAGCTGGCTCGAAGACCACGAGCAGCAGCACGGGGGGGCTGCCTCATTCGGGGGAGTCCTCGGCCCCCAATCGCCCCCTCATCGCCGGTGTGGGCCCGATGTGGCCCGATTGGGGGGCCACATGCGAACCCTACCCCTACCCCCCACGATTTCTGAGGGGGAGGGTGGGGTTCGCTTCGCTCGCGAGCTCCCGAACGAAGTGAACCCCACCCTCCCCCTCAGAAACCGTGGGGGGCAGGGGTAGGGTTCGCATGCGGTTCCCTACCGATAGCCCACCCCGCCAAGGAACCTGTGAATTTGCTATCCGGGGCCTATCGCCGATCTATCGGCGGTGCATCGCCGATGCCAGGCCAATGTTTCCCCACCGAGCTGGTCCCCCCCTCCATGCTGCTCCTCGGCTCATCGGCGGCCTCCCTCGGGTGACGCTAACCGACCACCTCGCCGACCGCTGCTCCCGAGTCGCGAAGTCGGATCGTGTCAGAACGCGCCCGATTTGGCGCGGAGTCGGATCGGGATCGGATCGTCTCGGATCGCGCATCGGGCTCCCCCTGCAGGCCGGAGAGGTAATTCGGTTCGTGTCGCATCGGATCGAGATCGGAGCGAAGTTTCGGAGATCGGATCGTGTCGAGTCGCACCATGAGCAGGTCTGGCTGGCGCTCCTCTTCATCACCCACCCCTCCAGCTGCTTCCTCCAGCCTCCATGCCCTCTCCTTGTTTTTCTCTGTTGCTACATCCGTCGTTTTGAGTTTTGATCCTTTTGGCTGATAGTGGCGCGGCCTCGTTTAAACGCAGTGGACTCTGGACAGCCCGTTGGATGTGCGAGGCTGGTGTGTTCACCTGCCTCTCTCTGTGTGCCCATCACTGCGCAAAGCGCAGCGGCCACCAGCAGTGCCGTATCCTCGTCTCTCCTCCGTCCTTCCTTGTGGGGGGTCGCCCAACCACAGTATGTGTGCAAACGTACGGGATGCCTCATGCCATATGAGGCTTCCTGTCCAGACGTAAGCAGGGCATCGACAGAACCAGATACGCCGATCTGCAACGTTTCTCGGAAGCCGCCAAGTATATGGTTCCTGTGCCCAGCGCCCCACAAGATCCGCATATATTCGCAGCTCTCCGCATGCGTTCGCTTCGCTGGAAGATGAGGGTGCCAACGCACGGCGTGCGCATGTTCACATGTTTGCCATCTAATGGGGGGCACCAAACATGTGTTCCGCTTTTCATGGTTGCCAATGTTTGCCATCTCTTTCGGGGGCCACTCCCGGACCAGGACTGGTTCACAGAAGCCAAGAGGAGAACCCTAAGTGGGTGCGTGCCATTTTTCGCACCCTCCCCAGGAGGAGCAGGCGGCGGAGGAGGAGGAAGAGGAGCAGGAGGAGGAGGAGGAGGAGGAGGAGGAGGAGGAGAGGAGGAGGAGGAGGAGGAGGGAGGAGGAGCGGGGAGGAGGAGCAGGAGGAGGGGAGGAGGAGGAGGGAGGAGGAGGAGGAGGAGGAGGAGAGGAGGAGGAGGAGAAGGAGGAGGAGGAGAAGGAGGAGGAGGAGGAGAGGAGGAGGAGGAGGAGGGGTGGAGGGGGTGGAGGAGTAGGAGGAGGGCGAGGAGAAGGAGGAGGAGGAGGGAGAGGAGGAGGAGGAGGAGGAGGAGGAGAGCAGAGGAGGAGCAGAGGAGGAGCAGGAGGAGGAGGAGGAGGAGAGGAGGAGAGAGAGGAGGAGGGAGCAGGAGGAGGAGGAGGAGGAGGAGGAGGAGGATAAGAAGAATGAGGAGGAGGAGCAGGAGGCGGAGGAGGAGGAGGAGGAGAGGAGGAGGAGGAGGAGGAGGAGGAGGAGGAGGAGGAGAAGGAGGGAGAGGAGGACGAGGAGGAGGAGGAGGAGGAGGACGAGGAGGTGGTGGAGGGGGAGGAGGAGAAAGAGGAGGATGAGGAGGAGAAGGAGGCGGAGGAAGAGGAGGAGGGGGCGGAGGAGTAGGAGGAGGAGGAGAAGGATGAGGACGAGGAGGAGGGGGGGGGGGAGTTGGAGGAGGAGGATGAGGAGGGGGAAGGAGGAGGAGGAGGAGGAGGGAGGAGGAGGAGGAGGAGGAGAGGAGGAGGAGGAGGAGGAGGAGGAGGAGGGGTTCTCAGAGATCCTCGAGTGGTCCCACGCCGATTCTGTCCCAGCCCTGGCCTCGTCTTCGAGCTGCCCGCCCGGTTCCCCACAGGAGCAGGGGCGCCAGAGCGAGCGCTCCGACGCCTGTTCTGGGCAGCTGCGCGAGCTGGAGGCCGAGCTGGAGGAGCCCACTCACCATGCTCGCCATCTCTCCACATTCCCCTCCGTGCCTCCGCCCTCCTCTCTCACCCCGTCCTCCTCCCTTGCCCCTTCCCCTCCCTTCTCCCTCCCCCTCCCTCCACCCCTGAGGGAGTGTCCCTCCCTCCCTGAGGGAGGGAGGAGGAGGAGGAGAAGGAGGAGAGAAGGAGGAGGAGGAGGAGGAGGAAGAGGAGGAGGAGCAGGAGGAGGAGGAGGAGGAGGAGGAGGAGAATGAGGAGGAGAAGGAGGAAAATGAGGAGGAGGGATGGCAGCATCCCATGGGATTCAGATGCCAGCAGCGTCAGCGTCAGCGTCAGGAGGAACAGGTAGGGAAGGAGGAGGAGGAGAATGAGGAGGAGGAGGAGGAGGCGGAGGAGGAGGAGGAGGAGGAGGATGTAGGCTCCCTCCCTTCTCCTTCTTCCTCCTCCTTCTTCGCCATCCAGCCCTCACGCGCCCACCTCGTGGTGCTCCCCCCCACACCCCACCATGCTGCTCTCCCCCCCCCCGTGCCCCCCCCCTCTGCGCCCCCCCCTACTTCCCTGTGCCACCTGAGCGACGCAGAAACACATGTTCGATTGCGCGGACATTCGCGCGCAAGTTGCCGTGTAGGGGCGTGCGTGCGCGCCCTTGGTTCTAATGCTATAGCGTGCCGCGCTAGCGGCCGCTGAAGGCCACCGCTGAATTGAAACTCGCTCTCATCTCCGCCAGCGGCTTGGATCGCGCCCGTCTGCGGCAGTCATGCGCGGGACATGTGAAGACGTTGGGGGCAGCATGCGACTGCATGCGTCACTCCAAGAAGAGAAACGACGGCCACCTAACTTTCGGGAGGCCTGCGCGGCCTTCCCGGATCGGCGTCGGACCACCACGGTGCCGCCGCTGGCGCTGGGGCCCCTCGCCCGCGCCGACCTCCGAGAGTCAATGGCTATGACCTGGCGTCGCTCGGACGTGTGCATTTTTCCTTCGGCGAGGACCATCGAGGAGCATCCCTGACCATTCGGCGAAGAGGCCACGCACGAAACCGAAAAAACACAGGGAATGGACGTCCGAGCGATGGCCAGATGACACCCTTCCTTCTTGCAGTCACTCTCCTGGGCGCGACCAGAGCCCTAGAGACCACACCTCTCGGCTACATTTGTTTCAAACCGGATCGATCTGTGATGGTCTGGGCCAGGAACTCCACGCGAAAACACTGCCACGCCCAGGTTTCGGGGCAGGGCGCAAAGGCAGGCAGGCGTGCGGCATGGTATAGGGCGTCGGGCTGCGCCGCACAGCCCTCCCTGGCGTCCAAAAGGCCCCCCGAGCAGTCCGGGGCGGTCTCAGCACCTCAACCCTGGGGCGCGGAGCGCACCTCAGGGGCGCCGCCGGAGGCGGCGCCAGGGATTCGAATCCGCCCTGGACTACAGTCGGGGCGCTGAAGAAGGAACACTTTTCATTAGGAGGGGCTCCGCGTTCCTTAAGTGTTTCGCAGCTTGCCTCAGGTTTTCCTTATGTTTTCGACAGGAAACCGAAGAATAACTTATGGAGAAAAGGGGCCTCGTTCCTTATTCAGCGTTCCTTAGGTCAACGCCCCGACGGTACTCCGGGAGCCTGTTGAGGCCAGCTGGGGCTACGTCGACGCCAGCCAGGTCTATTTGGGGGGGCTGTGCACAAGGCGGATCCCTCCCGTGCAGGCGTCGATCCTCCTCTGAGACCCAGCGGCCAGAGGATTCAGGTCGTAAAAATCACGACTGGAGCCCCCGACCCAATCTTCATGCGCCATTTTTTGAGCCAGATAGATCTGTGATGGTCCTGGGCCCGAAACTGGGCGAAAACACCCAGCGTGAAGAAATGGCAACGCCCGGATCTCAGGGCATTGTACGAATGCAGGCGTCACTCCTTGAATGGAATCGTCGCGGGGGTTGCTAAGGGAACGGCGGGTATCAGTGGATGCCGAGGTGGGTTATCGGAGGTGAGGGGGTGAGATCGAAGTTGAACGGAGAGCCCCCGGGGAAATCGATTTCGGTTTCGTGTTCGTGCGTGCCGTGCGTGCGAGGCGAAGCTGCGTGGGCGGGCGAGAGAAAGTCTCCTGTGGCTGAGGCGCGGCCGGACCAAATGACTCCCTTCCGGGCGGCCCGGGCCCCGCGGTGTCCCGCCGGTGTCCCGCTGGTGTCCCGCGGTGTCCAGCGGTGTCCCGCGGTGTCCCGCGGTGCCCCGCCGGTGTCCCGCGGTGTCCCGCGAGGATGATGATGATGATGATGATGATGATGATGATGATGATGATGATGATGATGATGATGATGAGATGATGATGATGATGATGATGATGATGATGATGATGATGATGATGATGATGATGATGATGATGATGATGATGATGATGATGATGATGATGATGATGATGATGATGATGATCCCGATGAAGATGATGATGATGGTGATGATGGTGCCGATGATGATCATGATGATGATCATGATGATGATGATGATGATGATGATGATGATGATGATAGTGTCCCGATGATGGGGATGATGATGCTCATGATGATGATGTTGATGATGATGACGATGATGGTGTCCCGATGATGATGATGATGATGATGATTCCGATGATGTTGGTGATGATGATGTTGATGGAAATGGTGTCCTGGCGATAATGATGTTGTTGATGATGATGTTGATGATGATCATGATGATGATGATGATGATGATGATGATGATGGTGATGATGATCATGGTGATGCTGATGGTGTCCCGATGATGTTAATAATGATAATGACGATGTTGATGATGATGCTCATGATGATGATGATGGTGCCCCAATGGTGATGATGTTGTTGATGATGATGATGTCGATGATGATGATGATGATGATGATGATGATGATGATGATGATGATGATGATGATGATGATGCGATGATCCTGATGATGATGGTGTCCCGAGGATGATGACGATGTCGATGATAATGTTGATGATGAGAACGATGGTGATCATGATGGTGCCCCGATTATGATGATGATTATGATGATGCTGCTGATGATGATGACGATGACTGTGTCCCGATGATGATGATGATGGTGATGATGATGATGGTGTTGATGATGAGATGATGGTGGTGATGATGATGATGTTGTCCCGATGATGATGATGCTGACGTTGATGATGATGTTTATGATGATGGTGATGATGATGATGATGATGATGATGATGACGGTGCCCTCATGATGATGACGATGTTGGTGATGATTTCGATGATGATGGTGTTGTTGGGGATGATGATGATGATGATGATGATGATGATGATGATGATGATGATGATGATGATGACGTTGATTGTGAGAGCGATTGTGATATCGATAGTGAGATCGATACTGAGACCGAATGTGAGATCGATTGTGTGATCGATTGTGAGATCGATTGTGAGATCAATTGTGAGATCGATCGAATGAGATAGATCGAGTGAGATCGATTGTGAGATCGATCGAGTGAGATCGATCGAGCGAGACCGACAGTGAGATCGATACTGAGATCGATGGTGAGACCGATCGAGTGAGACTTTGGTTCCCCCCCCCGAACCTCCTTATCTCCCGAAGGGTGGTCGTATAGGTATCTTGCCTGACCCAGTTCTCACGTGTGTTGCACATGCTTCAGGGGGGTGAGATAACTCCGCTGAGTGGGCGGAGCCCACCTAGCCCGGATCGTGAACCCCCACCCAGAGCCATTCTGGGCGTTGTTTTTGCTCCTCCCCAGGGCAACGCACGCCCTGACCTTCCAAGAGAGCTAAACAATAGCACCAGGACGTCGACGTCCTAATTCCTGTCGAGGTTTGAGGCAGTCCAGATAGGTTTATAGGTCTGGAGTGCTATTTTTCGGCACTCTGGAAGGTCAGGGCCCAACCCACCTCGGGTAACGCCAACGATCGTGCTGGGTGGGGGGAGGCCTCGGCCCCACCCCTACGTGCTGTGGTGCACGGGCGATTGGTGCGACGGTGGCGCGGGCACACTCTGGCGGGTGCACGCCGCGGCCGCCGTTGTCCTTACCCTGGGCATCGCTCGGACGTGTGCATTTTACCTCGGCGAGAACCAATCGAGGACCATCCTGGACCATCGAGCAACAAGAAACACGCACGAAACTGAAAAATTCACGGGAAATGGACGTCCGAGCGATGGCAAGTACCTTTCCGCCCGGATCCCCCCCCTTGGTAACGACCGTTACCCGGGACAGAAAACAATGGCCACCTTCTGAGCCAGGTCAGGAGATATCGGACGGGGCTAGGGCGAGGATAAATCCATTCCAGAGCCTTCGGAACGCTTTCAAAGCGTTCCAGAACGTTTTGAGAAGACCGCGGCGCGTTACAGAGCCGCCGGATCTCAGAGATTCTCGAGTTATCTCTTCACCCGATGTTATCCTCGTCCTGACTTCGCCTTCAGATATGAGGTACACCTTGGCATCCTCTGTTACCCCCTTCGTGGGCCCCGGAACGGCAGGGCCGTTTTTTTCACCGTTTCCGAAAAAGTGTCTCTCGACAATGGAAGCGGCACAAAAACGGCGATAGAAAAAGGCAATAAAAAGCTGCCCCAGGATTGGAATTTCGAACCTGAGCCGGAACCAGTAACTCCACGGCGACGGAACCGGTAAACAACATATGCGTCGGAACCGGCAAACATAGCGCGGCAGAACGGAACCGGTAATCAAAAGCGGCCCCGTCGTTTCCAGGGCCCCTTGTGCGGGACGGGAAAATGACCACAGCCACTACTTCTTGTTTGCGCTGCCTTCCAGCCGGCCGAAAAAGACGCAGTGGTTGTGGTCAGTTCCCTGGTGCCAAGCTCAACGAAAATGACCACAACCGCTGCTTCGTTTCTGCGGGCTGGAAGGCGGCAACAAAAGAAGAGCAGTGGCTGTGGTCGCTTTCGCGCCCCGTACCCTGAGCCCCTGTCCCCTCAGCGACCCCCGCGCCGATCCCCGTGGAGGCGGGCTCCGCGGCCCGTCCTCGTCGGGCTCGGGGCGCCGTTCCCCCCGCGCCCCGGAGGAGTCGCTGCTGCTGGCCGCCGGGGCGAGGGGCGGGGGCGCCGCAGCGGAGGCGCGGCAATTCTTGCCCGTCCGCGGGCTGGGCTTCGGGGGAGCTCCGAGGAGGACAAGGTTCAGGAGGGAAAGGGACACACAGACGCAATTCATCGTCGATTCCCAGGAACATGTGGGAAAATACGGGGATTGGGGGGGAAGACAAACACCAAGAAAAGAAGGGAAAATGTTGTTGTTTTTTTTTTGTGTGTGTGTGTGTGTGTGTGTGTGTGTGTCCTGGGGCCCCTTTAAAGGTAGCCATACCTCTGCCCTTTTCCTCGCTTTCCCCGTCTTGGGCCTCGTGGGGGGGCCCTCTCGTCGCCAAAACGCTGGGTTCGCCTCGAGAAATCCTGGGCAGAAGGCGCCCGGGAAGAGGTCCAGGGGCTATAGCGGTGTCGGTACCTCCTCCTCCTCCTCCTCCTCCTTGTCCTCCACCTCCTCCACCTCCTCCTCCTTCTCCTCCTCCTCTCCTCCTCCTCCTCCTCCTCCTCCTCCTCCTCCTCCTCCTCGTGGTCGTCTTCCCCCTCGTCGTCCTCCCCGTTGTAGACATCCCTGGGCCTCCCAGGTAGGTGTCCGAGTGGATGGGTCGGAAGGCTCGCGCCGCATCACAGATGCATCGCCGATACGGCGCGAGATGCAGCCCGATTTTCTCCACGCCGACGCCGCCGATGCACCACCGACGTCGCCGATGCATCGGCGATGCGGCGCAGTCCTCCGACCCCTTCAACTCGGATCCCATCTAGGGGTCTCTAGACATGCGAACGGAGCAGGATACCTGGAACCCCTCGAGATTAGAGGATCGAGCTTCGGCTTGTTCCGCCATATGTTCAAAAGCGCGCGCTAAGCGGCGGCCGCCAGCGAGTGCCTTGGCGCCATGGCCGGGGCCCTCGAGAGATACGACGGCGTGGTGTCGGAGCGGAAGGGGAGCTGGGGCTTTCTCAAGTTCTCCAGCGGCCGTCGTGCGTGCTTTCGCGCAGCTCCGCGGGCGGGGGCGAGCCGCTGCGGAGCGGCCGGCAGCCCTCGGCCGAGATCGGGCCCGACCCCATGAGGCCCGGCAAACGGACGGCGCAGAACGTGGACAGCAGGGCTCGAGCTAAACGGTGTTTTGGCAATTGCGTGGACCGTTTTCGTTTTGACTTCGTTTTGCAGCAAGTGTGGAACGAAGACAGAACTAGGGATGACGAACACAAAACGAAAACGGAAGACGCTGTTGAACTCGAGCCCTGGTGGACATGCTGGCTTCCTGGTCCTACGACGGCACCGGCCGCATCGCCGGAGTGGTGGCGGAGTGGAGAGGCACTTGTGGGCTCATCCAGTTCTCCGCTCGGAGGAGGGCCTGTGGACCTTGCCACGGGCGATGCAAACATCAAACAGGGCAAGTGTTCAAGCATCATTGTCTCCCTCTATCTCTCTCTTCTCCTGATCCTGGCCCTTGCGTTCCGGCGGTTTCATTTTTTCCGTTCGGGGCCATAGTTTGATTGCCACTGACCGCCGTGGAGTTTGTCAGCCACGCGCAGAGGGGATGCAAATGGCTGCGGAGGTGGGGGGAGGAGGCGCTGCAATCCCGCCACTCCCGCCTGCGCTGAACTGTGCACGCAACCGCCTTGCCAGAAACTGAACTCAGAGCGATCTTCACGCGATGCTCGAAGACTGGGGGCCGAGTGCGAGGGGGAGGAAGACGCCGGATGGTGGCAGTTGGCGCCCTGAGGTATTGAGGTCTGAGTTGTGGAGGTACGTTGGCACCCCTTCCTGTGGCCGTCTTCGTTGGCCGAGGGGCCGGGGGGGGGCCCTCGGGGCCAGAGGGGCCGCGCGGGCAGCGGAGGGGCTGAGGCGATGGGTGGGGCCGATCACGGCCACGGCGGCGCAGGGTCGCCAGGCTGGCGGGCGCCGAGGTGCGCGTCTGTCCTTCCGCGCCGCCAGCGAGGTCGGCACCTTCCTGCTGGCCGCTCCCAGGACAAGGGCGGGTATAGGCGGGGAAAGCTGAGGCGAGGAGGAGTGGCGGAGGACGGGCGGGAGGAATCGAATAGGAAGAAAAACACGAAGAAGAAGAAGACAACGAACAATTTCAACACCAATAATCAGAGTGAGGGGGCTGAACCGAACGGTCATTCACTGTCCCTGTGTGCGTGGCTGAAGTGGAATTCCGCGATGCGGATTCTTGTTGTTGTTTGTTGTTCGTTGTTGTCGTCGTCCCACCTGCGACCCGCCCCGCGACCCACCCGCGACCCACCCCGCGACCCACCCGCGACCCGCTCGCGGCCCCACCCGCGACCCACCCGCGACCCACCCCGCGACCCACCCGCGACCCACCCGCGACCCACCCGCGACCCACCCCGCGACCCGCCCGCGACCCATCCCGAGACCCCCCCCGCGACCCACCCGCGGCCCACCGGCGACCCACCCGCGACCCACCCGCGACCCACTCCGCGACCCACCCGCGACCCACCCGCGACCCACCCGCGACCCACCCGCGACCCATCCCGCGACCCACCCGCAACCCACCCGCGAACCCACCGCGACCCACCCGCGACCCACCCGCGACCCACCCCGCGACCCACCCAAAATTTTCGGCGCCTGCGGCATTTTTTGTGTATTCGTTTCAGGTGGAGAACCTGCGACCCACCCGCGACCCAAATCGCGTTCAGCGTACAAATCAAAATTTTCGGCACCTGCGGCAAACTGTTTTTGACTTCCTTCCAGGTGGAGGTGGAGAGCCCGCGACCCACCCGCGACCCAAACTACGTTCACTGAACAAGCCAAAATTTCGGCGCCTGCGGCGGGTTTCTTTGCAGTCGTTCCAGGTGGAGAACCTGCGACCCAAACCGCGTTCAGTGTACAAATCAAAATGTTCGGCGCCTGCGGCAAAGTGTTTTTGAATTCCTTCCAGGTGGAGGTGGAGAGCGCGCGACCCACCCGCGACCCAAACTACGTTCACTGAACAAGCCAAACATTCGGCGCCTGCGGTGGGCTGTTTCTGCAGTCGTTCCGGGTGGCCCACCAGCGATCCCCCCCGCGCTGACCTTGTCAGAGCACGAGGAGGAGGAAGACGAGGAGGAGCAGCAAGAGGAAGAGAGGAAGGAGGAGAGGGCGGCATCGACAGGGAAGGTAAGGGCCACGAGATCCGCCGGCTCGACGCCCAAGTCGCCCGCGCCATCCCCCTCACTGTTATCCGCAATTGCGGGGTGATACGTATTTTTAAACTTATCATATTCATGATGGTACAAATAACGCGAATACTACTTCTACTACTACTGCTACTACTACTACTACTACTACTACTACTACTACTACTACTGATACTACTACCATATTACTACTACTACTACTACTACTGCTACTACTACTACTGCTACTACTACTACTACTACTACTACTACTACTACTACTACTACTACTACTACTACTACTACTACGACTACTACTACTACTACTACTCCTACTACTACTACTACTACTGCTACTACTACTACTACTGATATCCGTAAGGGCTTCGTCCCCTGCCGCCGGCCCCCTCTCTCGGAGAATGGGCCATGGAAGAGCTAAGTCATGAGGATTTGGCGCTGTCGTGCAGCAGTATCGGAACTTCATGCGAGGCCGATTCGCAATCGGCAAAACCAACTGATCACAAGAGGGGTTACCACACAGGGCGATTGGTAAGACGTGTATGGTTTACGAGCTTGGTTACCACACCTTGGGATTAAAGGGCCGAGGGAGTACTCGCAGTTTGGGTTACCACGCCTTGCGATGGATGTGCGTGAGGGGTGGCACCGAATTTCAGAAATGTGGCAAATCCCCTGTGTTTTTGGACCCTGACCCCGCGGATCTGCGTGAGGGGTGGCGCCGAATTTCAGAAATGTGGCAAATCCCGTGTGTTTTTGGACCCTAACCCCGCGGATCTGCGTGAGGGGTGGCACCGAATTTCAGAAATGTGCCAAATCCCATGTGTGTTTTTGGACCCTGGCCCCGCGGATCTGCGTGTGGGGTGGCACCGAATTTCAAAAATGTGGCAAATCCCATATGGTTTTGGACCCTGACTCCGCGGATCTGCGTGAGGGGTGGCACCGAATTTCAGAAATGTGGCAAATCCTCTTCTGTGTTTTTGGACCCTGACCCCGCGGATCTGCGTGAGGGGTGGCACCGAATTTCAGAAATGTGGCAAATCCCCTTTGTTTTTGGACCCTGACCCCGCGGATCTGCGTGAGGGGTGTCGATTTCGAGCCCCCCCAGCAATTCAGACAACGCGCCCAGGGGGTGCTAAAAAGCCGGTTTGGGCCTCCCCCCCCCTCGCGCGGTCAATCAACTAGTTACAGTAACCAGCAATAAGTCAACTAGTTACAGTAACCAGCAAGAAGCAGAAGTGTAACACTGGAAACTACAACCTGCGACTGGTACAGGAAACTGCGAATCACGGGCCTACAGCCTGGTGGCCCCACAAGGGGGCCGGCGGACTACTGATATTACTACTACTACTACTACTACTACTACTACTACTACCACCTACCACTACTACTACGACTACTACTACTACTACTACTACCACCTACCACTACCACTGCTACTACTACGACTACTACTACTACTACTACTACTACTACCACCTACCACTACTACTGCTACGACTATACTACTACTACTACTACTACTACTCCTACTACTACTACTACTACTACTACTGCTACTACTACTACTACTACTACTACTGCTACTACTACTACTACTACTACTACTGCGACTACGACTACGGCTACGACTGCTACTCGTACTCCTACTCGTACTCCTACTACTACTACTATTACTACTACTACTACTACTGCTACTACTACTACTACTACTACTACTACTACTACTACTACTACCTACTACTACTACTACTACTGCTACTACTACTACTACTACTACTACTGCTATTACTGCTACTACTACTACTACTACTACTACTACTACTACTACTACTACTACTACTACCTACTACCACTACTACCTACTACCACTACTACTACTACTACCTACTACTACTACTACGACGACTACTACTACTACTTCGACTACTACTACTACTACTACTACTACTACGACTACTACGAATATTATTATTACTACTACCACGACTACTACTTCTACTACTACTACTACTACTACTACTACTACTACGGCTACTACTACGGTTACTACGACGACTACTACTACTACTACTACTACCACTACTACGATTACGACTACGACTACGACTACTACTACTACTACTACTACTAGTACTACTACTACTACTACTACTACTACTACTACTACTGCTAGTACTACTACTACCAATGAGAGGGGGAATGCTGATATGAATAAGCATACTACTACTACTACTACTACTACTACCACTACTACTATTACTACTACTACTACTACTACTACTACTACGACTACTACTGCTACTACGACTACTACTACCTACTGCTACTACCTACTACCACTACTACTACTAACTACTACTACTACTACTACTACTACGACTACTACTATTACTATTACTACTACGACTACTATTACGACTACTACGACTACTACTACTACTACTACTACTACTACTACGGCTACCACTACGACTACTCCTACTACTACCACTACTACTAGTACTACTACTACTACTACTACTACTTCGACTACTACGACTACTACTACTACTACTACTACTACTACCACTAGTACGACTACGACTGCGACTACGACTACGACGACTACTACTACGACTACTACTACTACGGCTGCTTCTACTACGACTACTACTACTACGACTACGACTACGACGACGACGACGACGACGACTACTACTACTACTACTACCAATAAGAGGGGGAATACTGGTATGAATAAGCATTCTATTACTACTACTACTACTACTACTACTACCACTACTACTACTACTACCTACTACTACTACCTACTACCACTTCTACTACCACCTACTACTACTACTACTACTACTACTACTACGGCTACTACTACGACTACTACTACTACTACTACGACTATTACTACTACTACTACTACTACTACGACTACTACGACTTCTACTACTACTACTACTACTACTTCTACTACTACTACTACTATTACTACTACGACTGTTACTACTACTACCACTACTACTACCACTACTACTATTACTATTACTACGGCTACTACTGCGACGGCGACTACTATTACTACTACCACTGCTACTACTACTACTACTACTATTGCTACGACTACCACTACTACTACTACGACTACTACTACTACGACAACTACTACTACTACTACTATTACTACTACTACTACTACTACTACTGCTACTGCTACGGCTACTACTACGACTACTACTACTACTACTACTAGTACTACTACTACCACTTCTACTTCTACTGCTACGACTACGACTACGACTACGACGACTACTACTACTACTACTACTATTACTACTACTACGACGACGACTACTACTACTACTACGACTACTACTACTACTACTACTACTACTACGACTACTACTATTACTACTACTGCAACTACTACGGCTACTACTACGACGACGACTACTACTACTACTACTACTACGACTACGACTACGACTGCGACTACTACTACTACTACTACTACTACTACCAATAAGAGGAGAAATACTGGTATGAATAAGCATACTACGTTTACTATTACTACTACTACTACTACTACTATTTCTACTACGCCTCTTATTACTACGACTACGACTAGTACGACGACTACTACTACTATTACTACTACTACTAGCCTTACTACTAGTACTACTACTACTACTACTACTACCCCACTACTACTACTACTACTACTACTACTACTACTAACTACTACTACTACTACTAACTACTACTATACTCACCTACGTATCTACTAACCTACTACTACTACTACTACACTACCTAGTACTACTACTACTACTACTACTACTACTACAACTACAACTACGACTACTACTACTACTACTACTACTACTACTACTACTACTACTACTACCGACTACTACTACTACTACTACTACTACTACTACTACTACTACTACTACTACTACCTACTACCTGCTACCTGCTACCTACTACCTACTACCTGCTACCTGCTACCTACTACCTACTACCTACCGCCACTACTACTACTACCTACTACTACTACCTACGACGACTACTACTACTACCGCTACTACTACGACTACTACTACTACTACTACTACTACGTACACTACGACTACTCTATTATTTACTACTACTACTACTATTACGACTTCGAAACGACTACTACTACTACTACTACTACTACTACTACTATATTACTTAACTATTATTTACGACTACTACTACGACTTGACCTCGTACGGACTACTACTACTACTACTACTACTACTCTCTACTACTACTACTACACTACTAAACTACTACTACGACTACGACTACTACGAACGACGACTACCCCCCTAACTTAAACAAAAACTACTTTTCCCTACTACTACTACTACTACTACTACTACTACTACTACTACTACTACTACTACTACTACTACTACTACTACTACTACTACTACTACTACTACTACTACTACTACTACTACTACTACTACTACTACTACTACTACTACTACTACTACTACTACTACTACTACTACTACTACGACTACTACTACTACTACTACTACTACTACTACTACTACTACTACTACCAATAAGAGGAGGAATACTGATATGAATAAGCATACGACACATACGGCGAACAAGAGGAACACACATGAGCACGCACGCAGGCTTTCACGGGTCCGCGTCCGCGCGACTCCTCGCCGTCGGGTGGCCGCGCCGCCGTCCCGCCCCTCCGCCGCGGCCGAGGCCGAGGCCGAGGAGGAGCTGCGGCAGCTGCAGGCCGCCGCCGAGGAGCTGGCGGGGAAGCTGCGCGCGGCCCGGTCGTGGGCGGAGGCGCGCTGCTGCGCCGAGAGAACCCAGACCCCCTCGGGTCATGAACAAAATCACGACGGGAGCTGTGTCCCTATGTTCGGCCTTTGGGAGCCCTTACCGGGCTTCGGGGCCGTCAAAAAACGGCTCAGCAGGATGAAAAACCGGTCCCAGGGAATAGGTCGAGACCTTCAGGGTTGCTGATATACAGCGTGGGCCCATGCCAAGAAACACCCTGCTTGCCTCCAGGGTGCCCTCGATTTCTCGGGTTTCGATGGCTTTGCAATGGAGAGCGTGACGTTTCCACACCAACGGTCGATAGACGTCCTGCGGTCTCAGTGTTGGGTTTCTGGTGGAAGGTTTCCTGTGGTCGGGCCCCTACTATACCATTGCCCTTGCCGCGTTTCCGCATGTCCCACGGCCACCCGGCGGCGGTCTCGTGCACCGCGCTGGTGGCTCAGACAGGCTCGCGTCGTGAACAGAAATCTTCGGGAGGTTTTTGGCTGTTGTCGGCCCCTGGGGGGCCCTCGCCGGGCCCCAGGACATTTAAGAAACGACTCTGCATGAGAAGCCTGCCCTGCGCAAAGGTTTGGGACTTCTGGGCACCCAGGGTGGTCAGATTTAGAAGATGTGTGCTATACGGTAGGTTCGTGCCTCGTGTCGACCAGTGGCGACCCCGCCGCCGGCGTTCAACGTTGAACGCCGCCGGCGACTCGAAGTCGCTCGATATGTTGAACAATCGGACGTTGCGGAAAGGGCCGGTCGTTCAAGGTTTATGTCGGGCGTGTCTCCCTACAGGGGGATTTTCGACGAAAAATAAAGCATTCCCCAAAAATGCAACAAAAAATGTCAAAAGATACTTCAAAAATAGTCCCCAGACTATTTTTGGGATTATGTTTTGATTATTTTGGGGGTATTCTTTATCTTTCGTCGAAGATCCCCCTGCAGGGGGACAGGCCCGACTCAATTCAAGGTGGAACGATCCCCGCGGTGTCAGGAACCAGCGCCGAGGTCGGCACGACGCGAACTTGTCGTATATATACACCCTGCGAAATGCTTAAGAAATCATGGGTTAAGAAATTCATAGTCTCAGAATTTGAATAAAACCCCCCAATTTCTAGTAAAAAGTTAGGATTTCCATTGAAACAATAAGAATAAACAAAAAAGCTGGCCGAAAACTTAAGTTTTCTTAAGCATCGCCTAAGGTGTACTCTTGTCGCGTTTTCGCCACGCGGGCCTCCTCGGAGGTCCGCCACGGCCGGAGGCGCTTCGGAGCCCTGCCCGAGGGCACCGGCGGAGAGCTCCGGGGGTGGCCCGTGGGTCGTTGAGATTGCGTGGGTATTTTTGAGGGGCCACATGCGAACCCCACCCCTACCCCCCAACTGAAGGGGCCCAAGGACACACAAATAAATACACACAAATAAAATGATTCCCCATATTTTTCCATATTTTCTGGGTTTTTGTCTTCCCGCCCAATTCCCATATTTTCCTGGGAGTCGACGATACATTGTGTCTGTGTGTTTCTTCCCCTCCTGATCAACGATCTCTGAGGGGGAGGCGGAGGTTCACTTCGCTCGGGAGCTCCCGAACGAAGTGAACCCCCCCCCTCCCCCTCAGAAATCGTTTGGGGGGCAGGGGTACTCCAGATTCCGTAATAAAGGGAGGGGGGTCTCATTTCGGGGGGGGTCTCTTCCAGGCTATCTTGGAGGGCCTGGGGTGGTCTGGGGAAGATGTTTTGGAGGGTTCTCCCACGAGGGGGGGTCTGAAATTGCTTGTCTTGGAGGGTCCAGACCCCCTCCCTTTTACTACGAAATCTGGAGTAGGGTTCGCATGTGGCCCCCTATATTTTCTGGAATCCCAGATCCCAACCTGCTTTGTGGGCGCCTGCCTGCTTCCATTCTCGAGTGCTTTCTCCCCGTGCCCTCCTCTGCAGGGGGCGGGCGGAGACCCGATCTGCCTTCGACGCCCTCCTGCTGCGTGTTTTTCTGGGTAGTCGAAGGCCAGACTGTCAGACTGGATTGGGCCCCAAGGGCCAATCTGGCTTGGCCATATTGGAGGATTTGGGTTATTCGCCAGACTGGATTCGCGTTGGCTCCCTCGCCAGATTGCCCCCGGTTGCCAGATTGGGCCTGCCAGATTGGCGCCAGATTGGCTTCGACTACCCAGTTTCTGCCCACTTCTTCCGACCGACGGGCGGCGGCATCCGTATCTTTTGGTATGGGTTGGCGGCGCGCAGAGGGGGGTAGGGGGAGGGGGGAGGGCTTCTTAGAAGCACCCTGCTTCTTAGAAGGCCTCGACCTTACGTCTATAGAGAAGGCCCGCGCCTTCTGAGAAGCAGGGGTGCTTCTAAGAAGCCCTCCCCCCTCCCCCTACCCCTCTCTGCGCGCCGCCAAATGGGTTCTGGTAGTTCCAGGCTCATTCAGACCTCCAACGCATTGGAAACATCGAGATGGGGATTATTCGTCGTTTTTGGCATCATGGGTGCCCTCGCTGTGCCCCAGGACCGTCAACGAAACGTTCAAGGACGAAAAGACGGTCCCCAGGAAGTGGTCCAGAGGTCCAGGGACCCTGCATTGGAAAAAACTGGACGTCAGACGTCTGGGAATGGAGTCCGAGCAGAAGGGGTCGGAGGATCGCGCCGCATCACCGATGCATCGCAGATGCGGTGCGATCTGGAGCCCGATGTTCTCCACCCCGACGGCGCCGATGCATCGCAGACGTCGCCAATGCATCGCCGATGCGCGGCGCGATCCTCTGGCCCCATCTACTCTGACCCCATTTTGAGGGGGGCTCTATTCTCGGGAGCCGCCATGGGGGATGCCTTATTGTCTCCCTCCATCCCTCTCACCACATCAGCAAACTAGAAAAGGATGAGCTGCGTGAGCATACATTTGCTAAGTCCGCGCGGATTGCTAGCATCGGCGCTGGACCCCCTGGCTGCGCCTCGGACGCCGCCGTTGGGGCGCCGTGTTTGTGTGCAGTCGAGGCGTATAGCTCATGCGTTCCTTGCCTCACCGAAGCGCGAGGACCGTACCCTTCCTGTGTTTCCTCACCACTGTCAGCCGGTGCGCCCTCGACGTGCACGGCTCTCTCTCTCTTGGGGGGTGGGAGGGGCGGTGCCGACCGCGGTGTCAATGGAAGGGCACAGGTCTCACCACCGCCGATTCGTGGGCACGACGCGCAGTGGCACGGGCAGAGCCGTGTCCTTAGCTTCAGGTTTTGTTCGCATGGGCTCCCTCGAGGGCGCGAAGTTATTCGCGCTTCGCGCTTCGCGGTCCTCGTTCCTTCTCCCCCTCCTCCTCGTCCTCCTATTCTCCTTTTGGGAGGGCGGCGCGAGAGCGCGAAGTTATTCGCGCTTCGCGCTTCGCGCAGCGCGAAGCGCGAAGTTGGGAGCCCTAGATGATAAGTCAGCACGCGGCTGCCCGCTTTTTGGGGGGGGGATGGTTCACAGTTCCTCGTGCTGGAGGCTGCGTTACGAGCTTCACTTCGTGGGGGTCGCGTCTGTCACCAGTCCTCTCGACCCTCCCAAACCTGGCGAGAGCATGATGCAGGGCCTCTGGGCTGTCACTTCGTTGCACCTTTCCCCGCCCGTGAGCTCGCCATGCTCAGACAGGAGTGCAGCGAAGGCTTTGGAGCACCAGGGGTTGCATCGTCAGCGAACCCGTGCCCCAGCGACCAACCGAGCTGAACCACCACTGAAGCATTGCTTCGGCGTCAACCGCCGGCCAGTGCTGTGCGTCATGCCCGCCACTGCCAGGCCGAGCACTGCAAGTTCACGGACTGCGCCACCGAGGTCGCCACGCTCCGTGAGGAGGGGCCCACGGGGGCAGCCCCTCGTCGGGAGCTCTGCCGCTGTGCAGTGCCGCGGAGCAGTCGTGGGACGGTCGGGGACCGGGCCACGGCCCGCACGAGTCGGCCTCAGATGGCTGCAGCGAGGACAGGGCGGCTGGGTTCCAGGCCTCTGTCCTTGTCTGACCCTTCTGGCCAGGAGGAGGAGGAGGAGGAGGAGGAGGAGGAGGAGGAGGAGGAGGAGGAGGAGGAGGAGATGGAGTGCTCATGACTCCAGGCCATCACGCCGGGGTCGGGAGCAGCGGGAAGCAGGCGCGCCCCCAGGCGAGCACAGACACGAGGGAGCCTGCCCTGGGCGTGCGGCCGGGGTCAGACGGGTGGAGTGGATCCAGTTCCTCCTCATCCTCCTCCTCATCCTCCTCCTCCCCTTCCTCCTCCTCCTCCTCCTCCTCCTCCTCCTCCTCCTCTTCCTCCTCCTCTTCTCTTCTGCTCCACGCTCCTCCTCCTCCTCCTCTTTCTCGTCCTCCTCCTACTCCTGCCTCCTCCTACCTCCTGCTCCCCCCTCCTCTCCTTTCCTTCTCCTCCTCCAGCTTTGAGTTCTGGACGTGGACGTGCTGAACTCCTGCGTGTTTGGGGTCCGAGGCCATGGTGTCTTTTCGACGGTGGCACGCTGATGGTGGCCCCGCGGCGGCGTTTTTTTTGATACTGCGGGTTTTCTGACCCAAGGGGACGGAGTCTGATTTGGGGGGGGATGGCGGTGTGTACATCACCGCGAAGAGCCAGCGACTCTATTCACCGCCGCACATCGCCACCCTCCCTGAGGGTAAATGCACAATTCGTCGGGAGGTGTATGCGTACGTTTTTTCCGTGGCGTATGGTGGAGGCCCTGGACGCCTGCTCAGAAGGCCTCGACTGGAGCTGCCCGCCCGCTGTTTTTTTTTTTTCGACTGGGCGTAGGACTGACCCTTCCCAGGAGTCACCTTGATTGCGAGCCGAGTGGGGTCCCCTGGTCGCTCGATGCGATGCGATACCAGCGGCGTGTGCGTTTGGGTCTGCCCCCCCCCGTGCCCTCCCTAAAGCCGCGCACCAAACTTTATTTCTTTGGGATCGGGTCTGTCTGGATTCCTGGATCTGCTGCTGTCCAGTGTTCTGTTGTGGCTCCGCTCCGTCTAGTTCCATTCCGCATGTTCGGCCCTCCTCTTGTTTTTCTTTCCAGGAGTCTGTCCTCTTTCTCGTTCCGTCCTTCCACTTTGCTCACTCTTCATATTATGCCTCTGCCTTTCGGGCCCTCCTTCTTCCGCGTCCTCTTCGAATCGTCGATTGACGAATGGCTGGTTGAAGGGGAGGAGGGGCAGGAACGGAAAGGAAGAGGACGAGAAGGAGCTCACGAAGAACGAGTGACCGCAAGTGTAGGTGGGGGATGATGCTGTCCTTTGCAGAGTGAGTGCGCCCTTCAGGTCGGGAGTGTTGTTTGGACCATGAATACCTCGAGGCATATGCGCAGACGCGCTGGGGGGCACTTTACGAGAGGGTTTGGGAGATGGCCGCTCGCGAATTCCGAGAACGGCAGTCAGCGAGCAAGCAGTTAGTGGCGGACATCAAGGATTGCTCGTCTGCCAGCAGAATCAGCGTCAATGAAAGTATAGATCAGACGGAGCGCAAGAGAATAGAAGCGATGAGGATGCGGGGATGTTTCCAGCTGTCTCTCCTCATGTATTAACATAGATTGTTTCCATCTTGCTATCGTGCTTGCACCTGCTGGTGACGTTCTTCTGTCCACCCACACTGCCGTTTAACATAGTACGATATTCCCAGTTTGGGCCCGATCTCGTTAGGTGTTGCGCGTATTCCTCGAACGTCGCCTTGTCTTACTCAACACGCTCGGGAGAACTGCCCCCTAACGCCCACGAGCGCGCTTACTTCAACTTGTAGCAATCAGCATGTGGTCGAGGACCCGATTATACAATATCGTGCCAGAGCGCAACGCGCTTGCAATATCCACAACTATCGCCCGTGCGATGGTTAAACACAATTGTGTGTACTGTGTTGTACACCTCTTCGATTGTGGGCCATCGTGTGTTTGTTGTCGGCAAGTGCCATGCGCATGTCTTGCAACTTTCCGTCAACAGCGTGACACGACACAATTTGTCCCGAATGGCCACGCCAATGCGTGGAGCAGAGACGGCGGGGATGTAGGTGACTATTCTTATTATGCCCATCCCTCCTGTGGTGTTGGGTCCTCGTTTTGAAGAGTCTCTCTCCTTTCCTCTCCTCTCCTCTCCTCCCCTCTCCTCTCCTCTCCCATCGTTCCTGCTCCTCCTCCTCCCTGAGTTCCCAACCATCCTGTGGTGTTGCGTTTTCGTTTTGGAAAGGCAGCGCCCCGCGTTCCTCACCTCCCGCTGCCCCCTCCTCCCTCCTCCCTCCTCCAACGTGTATGCACGTTCCGCCATCTCCGCCATCTCCCTGCCTCTGCCCTCCGCATGTCCACCGTGTCGACTGGCTGCGCTCGCATGGCGCCACCGCACCCATGTCGGCACATCCATCACGCGTTTTGTGGCCACATAGGGAGCTCCACAGAAGACCCCAGTCGCTGCGTTCGCATGGCGCCACCGCATCCATGTCGGCACACCCCTCACACGTTTGGTGGCCCCTATCAGGCTCTTCACCGAAGGCCCCAGTGCACCCATTTCGGCACACCCCTCACACGTTCCGTGGCCCCACAGGAAGCTCAGCCGAAACCCTAGTGGCTGCGCTCGCATGGCGCGCACCCATGTCGGCACACCCATCACACGTTCCGTGGCCCCAGAAGAAGCTCCACCGACGGCCCCAGGGCACCAATGTCGGCACATGCATCCGTCACACGCTTCGTGGCCCCATGCGGAACTCCACCGAAGGCCCCAGTGGTTGCGCTCGCATGGCGCCACCGCGCCCATTTCGGCACACACCCCACATGTTCTCGTGGCCACATACGGAGCTCCACCGAGGGTCCCAGTGGCTGCCACCGCACCCAGTTTGGCACACCCCTTACACGCTTCGTGGCCCTATAGGGAGCTTCACTGACAGCCCAGATGCCAGCGCTCGCATGCGGTCAGCGCAGCCATGTTGGCACACCCCATCACACGCTTCGTGGCCCCACAGAAAGCTCCACCGAAGGCCCAGATGCCTGCGTTCGCTTGCGGCCACCACACCCATGTCGGCACACCCCTCACTCGTTTCGTGGCCCATAGGGAGCTCCACCGAAGGCCCAGATGGTCCCCGCACCCATGTTGGCACACCCTTCGTACGCTTCGTGGACCGAATGCGGTGCATACAACGACGGTGTCCACAATTGCATATGGTAGGGTTATTCGCTAGGCTAATCTCCTCTCCTCTCCTCTCCTTTCCTATCATTATTTCTTCTCCTCCTCCTCCTCCTCCTCCTCCTCCTCCTCCTCCTCCTCCTCCTCCTCCTCCTCCTCCTCCCCTCCTCCCCTCCTTCCTTCCTCCTTCATCCTTTCTCCTCCTCCTCCTCCTCCTCCTCCTCCTCCTCCTCCCTTCTCCTCCTCCTCCTCCTGCTCCTCCTCCTCCTCCTCCTCCTCCTCCTCCTCTTCCTTCCTTCTCCTCCTCCTCCTCCTCCATCTCCTCCTCCTCCTGCTCCTCCTCCTCCTCCCTCATCCCTCCCTGCCTCTGCTCGCCGCATGTCTTCCATGTCGGCACGCTCGTCACACGTCTCGTTGCCCCACAGGGAGCTCCATCGAAGGCCACAGTGGATTCGCCCGTATGGCGCCACGGTACCTACATGGCACACCCCTCACACGCTTCGTGGCCGCATAGGAAGCTCCACTGACGGCCCCAGTGGCTGCGCTCGCATGGCGCCGCTGCGCCCATTTCGGCACACGTTCCGTGGCCCCATATGAGAGTTCCACCGAAGGCCCCAGTGGCTGCTGTCGCATGGCGCCACCGCGCCCATGTCGGCACACCCCTCACACGTTCCGTGGCCCCTTATTGGGGCTCCACCGAAGGCCCCAGTGGCTGCGCTCGCATGGCGCCACCGCACCAGAATTGCACACCCCTTACATGTTTCGTGGCCCCACAGGGAGCTCAACCGAAGGCTCCAATGGCTGCGCTCGCATGGCGCCACCGCGCCCATCTCGGCACACCCTCACACGATTTGTGGCCCCATATGGGGCTCCACTGAAGGCTCCAGTGGTTGCGCTCGCACGCGGCCACCGCACCCATTTCGGCACGCTCCTCACACGTTCCGTGGCTCCATATGGGAACTCCACCGAAGGCCTCAGTGGTTGCGCTCGCATGGCGCCACCGCACCCGTGCCGGAACACCCCTCAGACGTTTCGTCGCCCCACGTGGGAGCTCCACCGAAGACCGTATTGGCAGGGTCCACATGGCGGCGCCGCACCCATTTCGGCACGCCTCGCATGGCACCGACGCCTCCATTTCGGTACACTCCTTCTTGCAGCACTCCTGGCGCACCCGGAGCACCTGGCACGCGTGGCGCACCTCGCCCAATCGCGCACTTGAGGTCTGTATTGGATCCTAGTTGCTGCCCATCCATAGACGACAGCTGAACATGCTCAGGCGAGGATACTACTAATGTGTTGGGAGGGCGGGTGGGTGTGAGCGGGACAGCTTGCGGGCGGGGATATGATCTTGACCCCTCTGCCTACCCCGTCCCCCCGGACCTGGACGGGTGGGGCCGCGAGGGGTTCGATCGTCCATAACGGCCTCGGCGAGAAAGCAAGCATCATTGATTTTATTAAGATCGAAGATCATTGGACCCCCCCCCTTCTTTGAATGATCACCTCCAGGATGGTCCTAAGATGCCCCCGAGGCTCCCCAGAGGGCCCCAAGAGGGCCCCAAGAGACGCGCAGGAGGCCCCAAGAGGCCCCCAAGTTGCCCCCAAGATTCCCCCAAGAGGCTCCCAAGAGACCCGCAAGAGGCCCCAAGAGGCTCCCAAGAGGCACCCGAGACGCTTCAAGAGGTCCCCGGGACAGCCAAGAGGCCCCCAAGAGGCGCCAACAGGGCTACAAGTGTCCGAAGAGGTTGCGAAAAGCATCTGAGGCCTCTGGCCTTTCTGTTCGCACTCCTTTTCCTCTTCCTCATCCGCGTAATCCTCCTCCTCCCTTCCCCCTCCTCCCCCTCGCCTTCCTCCTCTTCCTCCTCCTCCTCCTAATCCTCCTTCTCTCCTCCTCCTCCACACTCTCCCTCTTGAAAATGACGGTGTCCCAGCCTTTTTTCGATTGCGTGCTCCCCTACACGTTTGATCTGTGCATCTCGCTTGGGCATCATTTCTGGATGGGCTGATGGGGTTACGCGAAGCGCTTAGAGTAGACAGACTTGGCAATGAGTCATGAATTAAAGGGTGTGTGGCATGTGTGCGTGGTGGGAAGTAAGTAGTTCGCAGCACGTTGGCAGTCGCACGTGCGCATGGATGAGCCACATCCCGGGCACACGAGGCACATGCTTGCCGATTGCACCATGACAAGTCGCACCAGAAACACAGTGGCCATGCCAGTCGCAGCACTGATAGTAGCAGCAGTTGCATCAGGCGAAGTAGTAGCGGCAGTAGTAGTAGTAGTACTAGTAGTAGTAGTAGTAGTAGTAGTAGTAGTAGTAGTAGTAGTAGTAGTAGTAGTAGTAGTAGTAGTAGTAGTAGTAGTAGTAGTAGTAGTAGTAGTAGTAGTAGTAGTAGTAGTAGTAGTAGTAGTAGTAGTAGTAGTAGTAGTAGTAGTAGTAGTAGTAGTAGTAGTAGTAGTAGTAGTAGTAGTAGTAGTAGTAGTAGTAGTAGTAGTAGTAGTAGTAGTAGTAGTAGTAGCAGTAGTAGTAGTAGTAGTAGTAGTAGTAGTAGTAGTCGTAGAGTCGTAGTCGTAGTAGTAGTAGTAGTAGTAGTAGTAGTAGTAGTAGTAGTAGTAGTAGTAGTCGTTAGTCGTGGGAGTAGTAGTAGTAGTAGTAGTAGTAGTAGTAGTAGTAGTAGTAGTAGTAGTCGTAGTAGTAGTAGTAGTAGTAGTAGTAGTAGTAGTAGTAGTAGTAGTAGTAGTAGTAGTAGTCGTAGTAGTAGTAGTAGTAGTAGTAGTAGTAGTAGTAGTAGTAGTAGTAGTAGTAGTAGTAGTAGTAGTAGTCGTAGTCGTAGTCGTAGTCGTAGTCGTAGTAGTAGTCGTAGTAGTAGTAGTAGTAGTAGTAGTAAGTAGTAGTAGTAGTAGTAGTCGTAGTAGTAGTAGTAGTAGTAGTAGTAGTAGTAGTAGTAGTAGTAGTAGTAGTAGTAGTAGTAGTAGTAGTAGTAGTAGTAGTAGTAGTAGTAGTAGTAGTAGTAGTAGTAGTAGTAGTAGTAGTAGTAGTCGTCGTCTTCGTAGTAGTAGGAGTAGCAGTAGTGTTTGTAGTCGTAAACGTAGTCGTAGTAGTAGTAGTAGTTGTAGTAGTAGTCGCCGTCGTAGTAGTAGTAGTAGTAGTAGTAGTAGTAGTAGTGGTAGTGGTAGTAGTGGTAGACGTCGTAGAAGTAGTAGTAGTAGTAGTAGTCGTAGCCGTCGTCGTTGTAGTAGTAGTAGTAGTCGTAGTCGTAATCGTAGTATCAGCCTTAGCCGTAGTAGTAGTAGTAGTAGTAGTAGTAGTAGTAGTAGTAGTAGTAGTAGTACTAGTACTAGTAGTAGTAGTAGTAGTAGTAGTAGTAGTAGTAGTAGTAGTAGTAGTAGTAGTAGTAGTAGTAGTAGTAGTAGTAGTAGTAGTAGTAGTAGTAGTAGCAGTAGTAGTAGTAGTAGTAGTAGTAGTAGTAGTAGTAGTAGTAGTCGTAGTAGTAGTAGTAGTCGTAGTCGTAGTCGTTTTAGTACTAGTCGTAAGCGTAGTAGTAGTGGTAGCAGTAGTAGTGGCAGTCGTAGTAGTCGTAGTAGTGGTAGTAGTAGTACCAGCAATACTAATAGTCGTAGCCGCAGTAGTAGTAGTAGTAGTAGTACTAG